TTGCTTAACTTCTTTCTTGTGCTGTTCTCTTGTATTTTGTTTTTCGAGCCAGGGATAATTTATGACGACCAAGAAAGAAGACAATGGCATCCAGAAAAATACCAAATTTCACTTTGCTCTCCCAAACGCAGAAAACTAGCCACGCACACAGGCGTCAATGTCTCGACAAACCAGAAGCTGCTCATTGTACCAAGACCCTTGCGAGCTGCTTCACCCAACATGCACTTTGGGTCGGACAAACTTTAAAGGCCTACCATTGAAATACTTCCAGATAACTTGTTAAAATGGACATTTTGTCAAGTGAGGTTAGGACTTCTATGAATACGCCTACAAGACACTAGGCTATTTTAGTTTCCCAAGAACTAGTTTGCATCATGGGCCATGCTAAAATGTTAATGACATCTCATGTAAGCATGTTATTTCCTTAAGTTTCATTATTTGCAGATAAGAAGTAACAATAAGAAAGCCAAATACTTTAAATTATTATTATTATTATTATTATTATCTATTTTAGAGATGGAGTTTTGCTCTGTTTGCCCAGGCTGGAGTGCACATGGTGTAATCCTCAGGCTCACCAACAACCTTCCCAGGTTCAAGCTATTCTCCTGCTCAGCTCCCGGATATAGCTCGGCACACACCATATGCCTGGCTAATTTCTGTATTTTTAGTAAGAACGACAAGTTTCCCCATGTTGTCCAGTCTGGTCTCTGAACTCCGCGACCTCAAGAGTGATACCGCACCGCCTGGCCTCCCGCCGAAGTGCTGGGATTACAGGTGTGAGTCACTGCGCCTAGCCCTAAGTTAATTTTTTTAAATCTTCCTTTGAACACAGCAATACTTAAACTCTTGAAAACATGCCTGTAATTATGACATAGTACCTTGATTGGTAAATCCAAACATGTTTCTAATTCATTGAGAACTGGATTTTAAACAATTTTAAGATTTTTCCCTTTTTTCCCAATGAGATGATGATGGTGATAGTGATGATGATTTAGTTAACCTATAAGTTAATAGACTGTGTTAATAGTGATGTTCTTGCATTTAAGCCATTGATACATACACATATATATTTCTTTTGGTAGTGAAGGATATCAGCATGCTAAGCATGGTGTCCAAAACAGTCAGCCAACACATTATTAATTATATCTCAACCTCATCAGGAAGCAAAAGACTTTTACTACAGGACTTTCATAACCTTGAGCTGCCTGACAGGAGACAAGACTCTGCTATACTGGAGCACTACAGATCTCTAGGTAACTTATGTAATGAGAATCGCAACAAGTAAAGAACTGTGCTTAATTAAGAGAAACTTAGTATACAATCTGTAAGGCCAGTAGGAAATGGAATATATTCCAAAATGTGCGTTTCTATGATGCTTTTACTCTTTAGTGTGAGAACACTCCCTTAACCAGTTATCTTTAAAGGTGAGAAAATGCATTTTGATGTAAAGTGTCAATTCTTGTGATTTCATATAGATACAACATCACCTATGCTTAACGTCTAGTGGCTTATTAGTTTAGGAAATTGATGTATTTTCTATGTGTCACTTCCTGTAGATCGAATGAGTTTTATCTCTTTACCTCTTTTCCCTTTCAACCATAATCTAGTCCTTAAAAATAGAAATTTAAACACATTATTATGGAAGATTATTTATCCTCTCACCAGAAACTGTGGTTTTTTAAGTACATCTAGTAAGTCATTAAGCTATAATTAAACTGACCTTATCAAAGCAAATTCTGTATAATCTTTCTTCCTTAATTTATAATCATTTATGTTTTTTACTCCATTCATTGATTTCATTGTCCCTGAGAGTGCTGAAGTAAAATTCTAATTTTGACTTGACTAATGACACCGATTTGAAACCACTTTATAATTCATCAAAGCATGGCAATAAAACCAAATATCAAGATGGTGTGATTTAAATAAAGGCGTAACAGTAAGTTAAGTGAATACTGCCTTTTAGTAGCCCAAGGATGCTTAGATTTAAGATAATAAGAGTATGTGGATATGTAAATACATCAAAATGTATTTGATGATTACCTGTGTATTTGAATAAGACCAAATGAAAGAAAAGTATGTGATCTGATTACAGTGTCATTGGTTTCAGTATTTATGATTAGGCTTACTAAAGCCTGTAACAGAATATGGAAACTACTTTTTCCTACTTCTCATTATAAATGTAATTTTTCGGCTGGCCACAGTGGCTCACACCTGTATTCCCAGAACTTTGAGAGGCCAAGGCAGGCAGATCACCTGAGGTCAGGAGTTCAAGACTACTCTGGCCAACATGGCGAAACCCTGTCTCTACTAAAGATACAAAAATTAGCTGGGCATGGTGGCACACGCCTATAGTCCCAGCTACTTAGGAGGCTGAGGCAGGACAATTGCTTGAACCCAGGAAATGGAGGTTGCGGTGAGCTGAGGTCGCGCCACTGTACTCCAGCCTTGGTGACAAAGTGAGACTCCGACTCAAAAATAAAAAAAAAGAATTATTTTCAGTTCATCATTAGTTGTAGAGGAAGTGGTACCTGGGTAATACAGTAGAGCTTATACTTTGGTTTTGATCTGAAAGAAATATTTCTCCCTGATCAAGTCTCAATTGCTTAAACTGACAAAAACACTAAGACAATTATATGTGTAATTCAGTAAAAAGTACAAATATGTATTGATCTTAATTGCTTTTTTAAATGGTTTTATTCATGTAATGATTTCAACTATCTGTTTACTTTTGATGCAAACACTTCATTTATGACTAATTCTTTAAGTAAATGTTTCATATACTTACCATTTTCTCATGTTGTCATTCTTACCTGATCTGTTATTGTTTTCACTTTTTTTTTTTTTGAGATGGGATCTTGCAGTGTTGCCCAGGCTGGCCTGTACTCCTGGGCACAATCGATCCTCCTGCCTCAGTCTCCTGAGTATCTGAAACTACAGGCATGTGTGACTGTATCCAGCTTGTTTTCAGACATTAAAATAAGATTTTCAGAATGCTGTGCTTTGGGCCGGGCTCAGTGGCTCATGCCTGTAATCCCAGCACTTTGGGAAGCCAAGGTGGGAGGATCGCTTGAGCCCAGGAGTTCAAGACCAGCCTGGGCAACATAGGGAGATCCCCATTTCTACAAAAAATTAAAAAATTATCTGGGCATGGTGGCCCAGCTGAAAGCTGAAAAAAGTCATGAGGTTCAGGTATATATTTTCTTACCATAAATCTTATTTTTAGTTTGAGGACATTTGCCCTCATAGGAATGCTAACAATGTATTGCCATTTTAGGAAAATAGAACGTTTAAAGTTAGAGGAAACAAATTAGAGGACAAACCTGTTGTCCCAGCTACTCAGGAGGCTGAGGTGGGAGGATTACTTGAGCCCCAAAGGTCGAGGCTGCAGTGAGTCGATTTTGAAAATGCACTCTGGCCTTGGCAACAGAGTGAGACCCTGTCTCATATTCATACACACACACACACACATACACACACACACACACACACACACACACAATGCTTTGAAGAATTTTTTTTTTTTTGAGGCAGTCTCACTCTGTCGCTCAGACTCGAGTGCAGTGGCACCACCTCGGCTCACTGCAACCTCCGCCTCTTGGGTTCAAGCGATTCTTGTGTCTCAGCATCTCCAGTAACTGGGATTACAGGCATGCACCACCATGCCTAGCTAATTTTTGTATTAGTAGAGACAGGGTTTCACTATGTTGGCCAGGCTGGTCTTGAACTCCTGTCCTCAAGTGATCTGCCCTCCTCAGCCTCCCAAAGTGCTGGGATTACAGGCGTGAGCCACCGTATTTGGCCAATTATAAGTTTTAATTTGCTTCTTCATGTAAAACAGAGCAGATGGCCAATGTGGAAACAACATTACATCTGACTCTATTTAGGGAAGAACTTTTAAAAAGTCTTTAAAGGGTATAGCAGAGCACCTATGGTTTTCTTTCTTTTTTTTTTTTTTTAAACAGCCGGTATTGGATTTTATGGTAAGCTGTGATCCTTAAAAATAGGAGTTTTATATTAGGCAATCAGCATACCAAAATAGGGCTGGATGCAGTCACACGTGCCTGTAGTCCCAGATACTCAGGAGGCTGAGGCAGGAGGATCAATTGTGCCCAGGAGTAGAATTCTAAAAATTAATGCCTAGAATTCCTTAGTTATGATGTGCTGTGAAACTGGATACCGAAGTATGAAAGGGAAAGAACTCAGCTTAAAAACTAAACACTGAAAAATGTCTTTTTTTTCTTTTCCCTTAGTTGTCAAGTATGAAAAATGTCTTTATATATAAAAATAAAGAGGGTTTATGTTTAAAACTCAGTTCTGTTCATGTGTTACTCAAACATAGCAACTTCTAAAAATAAGTTAGATTCCTATAGATTCTTCAGAATTATGTAAAGTAATTATAATCTTATGTAAAAAAGTAAGTACAGAGAAGATGAAAGCTGAAAAACGTCATGAGGTTCAGGTATATATTTTCCTACCATATATCTTCTATTTAGTTTGAGGACATTTGCCCTCATAGGAATGTTAACAATGTATTGCCATTTTAGGAAAATAGAACGTTTAAAGTTAGAGGAAACAAATCATACACTTCCTGTCACTGTAGCTCACATTATATATCTCACTGAGAAACTTTTTTTTTTCTTTTTAAAGTATCTGTACACAAAATCCTATACATTCTTAGCATGCAAGTCCCATAAAAGGATATCTTAGAAGGAATAAATGGATATTTCATCCTAACTGGATACTTTCTGTGAAAAAAAGAAAAAAATCTAGCCTCTGAAATTTTAAGTACTTATGACTTAAATTTTTGTATTTAGAGAGAGGGATACAAAACCTGTTTTCTCAGCCCAATGCAATTTAATCCCAGTGCTTTGTGAGGCCAAGGTGGAAGGATTACTTGAGCCCAGGAATTCAAGACCAGCCTGGGCAACAAAGCAAGACCCCATCTCTACGAAAAAAAAATGTTTTTTTTTTTTAAATTAGCTGGGCTTGGGCTGGGCATGGTGGCTCACACCTGTAATCCCAGCACTTTGGGAGGCCGAGGCAGGCAGATCATGAGGTCAGGACATCGAGACCGTCCTGGCCAACATGATGAAACCTCGTCTCTAAAAATACATAAATTAGCTAGGCATGGCGTTGTGCACTTGTAGTCCCAGCTACTCAGGAGACTGAGGCAGAATAATCACTTGAACCTGGGAGGTGGAGGTTACAGTAAGCAGAGATCACGCCACTGCACTTCATCCTGGTGACAGAGCGAGATCCTGTATCAAGAAAAAATAAATAAAATTAGCTGGGCTTGGTGGCACATGCCTGTGGTCCTATTTATTTGGGAGGCTGAAGTGGGAGGATCACTTGAGCCCAGAAGATCAAGACTGCAGTAAGTCACGATGGCATGCCACCACACTTCAGCCTGGGCGACAGAGTAAGACCTTGTCTCAAGAAAAAAAAGAAAATCTGTTTTCTCTTTCTTTCCATGTTTTAGTTAAGAACTCTTAAACCTTTCCTTTGTGGATATGATATGGAGGTTAATTCAGAGATTGGCTGAAATCTGGTTCTATGGAATAAGGCAAAATAAATTTCTCGGGCGGGCGTGGTGGCCACGCCTGTAATCCGCTTTGGAGGGCGGACGGGCGATCCGAAGGTCAGGGGAGGATCGAGGACCATCCTGCTAACCAGTGAACCGTCTCTACTAAAAATTACAAAAAATAAACCGGCGAAGGTGGCCGGGCGACCTGTAGTCCAGCCTTACTTGGGGGCTGAGGGCAGGAGGAATGCGTGAAACTCGGGGCGGGAGCTTGGCAGTTGGCTGAGGATCGGACACGCCACTCCGGCCTGGGTGACAGAGTGGAGGACTCTGTCTCAAAAAATAAAATAAATATAAAATAAAATTTCTGTAGCGTTCTTTATTATTGTATCTGTTTACTCTATGTATTTTTCCAACGTGTCCTATAGAAGGCGTTTACAATTTTTGTGCAGATTTTATGCCAAGGGCCTCTTGAATGAGCCATCGAGTCCACTGTGTTAATACCTAACAATGGAAAGGTTTGCACCCTTCCTCCAATTTCTCTTAAAAACCATATCAACTCATAGTCCACTGTGATATACCATACTTGACTTTCAGGAAACATTATTCTGTGCTCTATTGATATTCTTAATTGTATTGTTGTCATTTTTTCTTATGTCTCTTTACTTTCCTAGGTCTACTGTTTAAAAGATGTACATTGCTGCTACCCACCAAGGAAAGGCTAAAGTACATTCACAAGATACTCACAGAAGTAAGATCATACTTCTAAATTAGTTTACAATCTTGATTTCCAGTAAAGATATTATTTTATTATCTCATGCTCATTTTACTCTGTATTAGTAGGATTTCATGAATTAGCACTAAAAAATTGATTTATGATAGTCTAATATTTTACCAAGTACTTAGAAATTATATAATGTCAAAATATAGTAATCTTTCACTTATTATAAAACCATTTTCATATATAACTAAGCACATCATTGAAGTTTATTAGGTTTCTCAGAGTATAAAGTGTATTTTACACCTCATACAAATCCTAAGGAAGTTTTAAAGTAGTGATTCAGATATTGTATTAAAGTGAAATAATTTCTGAATGTTGAAATTTTATTGTTTAAATGTATAGAAACATAGGAAAGTGTTTTTAATATATAAAACAACAAACATTTTATGATAATAGACTTGGAAATGTGTATCAATATGTTTGAGCATAGTCTCTTTATAAGACTTTTATATACAAATCCAAGTATACGTCCAACTCTTGATGGTTCAGTTCAACACTCAGTGGTATCTACTGTTTCTGATACACTGACTTTTTCTTTTCTCTCTTTTTTTTTTTTTTTTTTTTGTTGTTGTTGAGACAGAGTCTCGCTTTTGTCACCCAGACTGGAGTGCAGCGGCGTGATCTCGGCTCACTGCAACCTCCACCTCCTGGGTTCAAGCTATTCTCCTGCCTCAGCCTCCCGAGTAGCTGGGATTACAGTCACCCACCACCATGCCTGGCTAATTCTTGTACTTTTAGTAGAGACGGGGTTTAGCCCTGTTGAACAGTCTGGTCTTGAACTCCTGACCTCAGGCAATCTGCCCACCTTGGCCTCCCAAAGTGCTGGGATTACAAGCATGAGCCACCTTGCCCTGCCAACTTTTTCGTGTCAGCATTTACATTGAGTTCTGGTCTGTATTATTATTGCAGCTTCCCAGATGACCTTTCTGTCATCCAATTCATTACTCCCCAAAGCATTCTGTATGCTGAATCAAGATTACTCTTCCTAAAGCATCACATTCATAAATATGTTTTTTTTTTTTTTTGAGACGGAGTCTCACTCTGTCGCCCAGGCTGGAGTGCAGTGGCACTATCATGACTCCCACTGCAACCTCCGCTCTTATGTTCAAGCACTTCTCCTGCCTTGGCCTCCGAGTAGCTGGGATTACAGGCATGTGTCACCACGCCTGGCTAATTTTTTTTTTTTTTTTGTAGATGGAGTCTCGCTCTGCTGCCAGGCTAGAGTGCCAGTGGCATGATCTCAGCTCACTGCACCTTTGCTCCCAGGTTCAAGTGATTCTTCTGCTCAGCATCCCAAGTAGCTGGGATTACAGGCGTGGTGCCCCATGCCCAGTTTATTTTGTTATTTTTGTAGAGACAGAGTTTCACTATGTTGGTCAGGCTGATCTCGAACTCCTGACCTCGTGGTTCCGCCCACCTCAGCTCCCAAACGTGCTGGGGATTTACAGGCGTGAGCCACAGCACCGCCCATTTTTTGTATTTTTAGTAGAGGCGGGGTTTCACCATGTTAGAATGGGTCTCGATTTCCTGACCTCGGTGATCCACGCCTCGGCCTCCCAAAGTGCTTGGATTACAGGCGTGAGCCACCACGCCTGGCCAACATGAACTTACTTTTTTTTTTTTTTTTTTTGAGATGTAAGTCTCGCCCTGTCACCCAGGCTGGAGTGCAGTGGCACGATCTTGGCTCACTGCAACTCTGCCTCCTGGGTTCAAGCAATTCTCTGTGTCTCAGCCTCCCAAGTAGCTGGACTACAGGCACCTGTCACCACACCCAACTAATTTTTGTATTTTTTAGTAAGAGACAGGGTTTTCTTCATATTGGTCAGCTGGTCTCAAATTCCTGACTCAAGTGATCCACCCAACTCAGCCTCCCAAAGTGCTGGTATTATAGGCATAAGCCACCGCGCCCAGCCTCATAACTTCTGTATAAAACCTTTGCAGGGGCCACGGTGGCTCACAACCTGTATCCTAGCACTTTGGAAGGCTGAGGCAGGTGGATCACCTGAAGTCAGGAGTTCAAGGACCGCTGGCCAACATGGTGAAACCCCATCTCTACTAAAAGTTACAAAATTAGCCAGGCCTGGAGGTGTCTGTAATTCCCAGTCTACTTTGGGAGGCTAAGGCAATGAGATCGCTGAACCCAGGGGGCGGAGGGCTTCAGTGAGCCAAAATCATGCCACTGCACTCCAGCCCTGGGTGACACGAGTCAAGACTTCATCATAAAAAATTAAAAAAAGAAAATTTAATTGTTATTATTAAATTAAATTGTGAACTTCTTTGAGAGTAGAGATTTTTTTTTTTTTTTTTTGTTTCTTGAGAGGGAGTCTCGCTCTGTTGCACCTAGGCTGGAGTATGCCATTGGCGCCGTCCTCGGCTCACCTTGCCAGCTCCGCCTCCAGGGGTTCATGCCATTCTTCCTGCTCAGCCTCCGAGGTAGCTGGACTACAGGCCGCCCACCAACACGCCGGCCATATTTTTTTTTAGGGTGTATTTTAGGATAGAGACGCGGTGTTTCACCCGTGTAGCCGGATGGTCCTCGATCCCCTGACCTCATTGATCCGCCTGCCTCGGCCCTCCCAAAAGTGCTGAGCATTACAGGCGTCAGAACACTGCTGCCCGGCTTGAGATCTTTTATAATACGTACTTTTTATAATCCCAACCCTATGGAAACACAATGCTGATCAGAATAGGTGCTGAAAAAATTCTTGCTTATTTCCATTAAATTTGAATGTCAAACCATTGTTCCACTATTGTCAAACTATAGTTTCACCAACAAGGAGGTATTAACATTGTTCTCTTTACAGGTTTCCTGCTTTAAATTCAATGGCTGTGCAGCTCCTATGCAGTGTTTAGGATTAACATGTTATGGCATGTTTTTACAGGTACATTTTTTTTAATCAGAGAAGAAAAGGGATACCTTTGGAACTGCTAACAAATAGAATATCCAGTCTCTCTTTTCATAGGTTAATAAAGTTATAATAATCTTAAAAAGAGCAAAATAAAATAAAGATTTGAGAATGTATTAATCTAATAATGTTTGCTATCTCAGATTTTCGTTTTGAATTTCTCAGTGGTAAAAAATGTTTGACATTTATTTATCCCCCAAACCATTCTACATGCTGAATGAAGGTTACTCCTCCTGAAGAATTGGTGTCCTCAAAGTTTCTACTAGTTGTAAAGATTAGAAATATTATGGGATGGTGTGTGTGCATACGTGTATCTATATCTATCTATATAATGAGTTTAGTCTTGGGCTAGTTATTTAAGGTGTGATATTAGTAATCAGTTGTATTAATTCAAGAACATTTTGACTGATCTTTTATATTGTAAACAAAGAAGATAATAATTAGCGTTTACTCAGCTTACTATGTGCCAAACACTGTTCTAAGTAGTTTACATGTGTTGATTAATTTTTATTTATTTATTTATTTATTTTTTGAGACAGAGTCTTACTCTGTCACCAAGCCTGGAGTACAATGGCATGATCTCAGCTCACTGCAACCGCCGCCTCTCAGGTTCAAGCGATTCTCCTGCCTCAGCCTCCTGAGTAGCTGGGATTACAGGCACCCGCCACCACGCCTGGCTAATTATTTGTTTGTATTTTTAGTAGAGACAGGGTTTCAACATGTTGGTCAGGCTGGTCTCGAACTCCTGACCTCAAGCAATCCACCCACCTCTGCCTCCCAAAGTGCTGAGATTACAGGTGTGAGCTACCACACCCGACAACATGTATTGACTAATTTACATTTACAACAACCTTGTGAGGCAGGCACTGCACCCGTAAGAATCTTGCTGTGCTCAGCCTACCAGCCACCAACTCGTACTCACCCAGATTGCAGGGGTCTAAGCCCATACTAATCCTCTTCCAAGACAGATTTTTCTTATTTAATTTTGTTTTTTACTTGTTTCTTTCTTTCTTTGGGACATGTAATACATATGTATATATTCATGTACATTTACAATGGTACACAATGTATAAAGTAAAAAGTTAGTCTCTCTCCTTTCCACTGAGTTCCCTTCACCAGAAGTAATCAGTTATCAGTTTCTTATATGTCCTTCCACAGGGAATAAGATTAATTTTAATTAATTTATTTATTTATTTATTTTTGAGGCAGAGTCTCGCTCTGTCACCCAGGCTGGAGTGCAGTAGCACGATCTCGGCTCACTGCAGCCTCCGCCTCCCAGGTTCAAGCAATTCTCCTGCCTCAGCCTCCCAAGTAGCTAGGATTACAGGGGCCTGCCACCACACCTAGCTAGTGTGTGTGTGTGTGTGTGTGTGTGTGTGTGTGTTTTTAGTAGAGACAGGGTTTCACCATGTTGGCCAGGCTGGTTTCAAACTCCTGACCTCAAGTAATCCACTTGTCTCGGTCTCCCAAAGTGCTAGGATTACAGGCGTGAGTCACTGTGCCCAGCCAATAAAAGATTTTTGGTTGTTGACGTTCAAAAGTCATAAATAGCCAGGCACAGTTGCTCACACCCGTAATTCCAGCACTTTGGGAGTCTGAGGCAGGCCGATCACCTGAGGTCAGGAGTTCAAGACCAGCCTGACCAACATGGTAAAACCCCATCTCTGGAAAAAAAGTCATACATAAATGCTCAGAAATGTCACATTGAAATTGGATCATTCTCATTTATAAACAATATCATAAATGACAACTGCGGGTGTCAAAGGGATTCTACTCTAGTCTTAAAGCCATAGCATGGTTGTAAGTCAGATATCTAAACTGTGTTCAGGGTTTTGGTTATTTGCCTCACATTGTCAAAGTTCAGGATTCAGTACCATTTAAACCTTCTCAAACAAACAAATAAAAAAGTTCTGTCCATTGCACTCCAGCCTGGGCAACATAGTGAGATTCCATCTCAAAAAAAAAAAAAAAAAAGTTATCTGAAAAGATACTTCCTTTCCAACCAAAAAGAAACTGAATTTTGGAGCTTTCCAAGTTTTGTTTATGTTAATTTGTTATTAATTTGATAGTTCCATAATGGGTAAAAATTGCACATCACCTTGATCATGTGCTAAAAACAGTTATACTCATAAAGCAGTAGTGACTTATGTTCTTCTTGTTGTTGTTGTTGTTGTTGTTTTTTGATACGGAGTCTCACTGTGTTGCCCAGGTTGGAGTGCAGTGGTGTGATCTCGGCTCACTGCAATCTCCACCTCCGGGAACAAGTGATTCTCCTGTCTCAGCCTCCCAGGTAGCTGGGACTACAGGTGCGTGCCACCGTGCCCAGCTAATTTTTTGTATTTTTAGTAGGGACAGGGTTTCACCGTGTTAGCCAGGATGGTCTCAATCTCCTGACCTCATGATCTGCCACGTTGGCCTCCCAAAGTACTGGGATTACAAGTGTGAGCCACCGCGCCTGGCCTGTTTGTTTGTTTGTTTTTGTGACAGAGCTTTGCTCTTGTCACCCAGGCTGGAGTGCAATGGCATGATCTCGGCTCACTGCAAGCTCCGCCTCCCAGGTTCAAGCAATTCTGACTCAGCCTCCCAAGTAACTGGGATTACACATGCCCACCACCATGCCTGGCTAATTTTTGTACTTTTAGTAGAGACGAGGTTTTACTATGTTGTCCAGGCTGGTCTCAAACTCCTGACCACAGGTGATCCGCCCACCTTGGCCTCCCAAAGTGTTGGAATTACAGGCGGGAGCCACCACGCCTCGTGTGACTTATGGTTTGACTTGATAGTCTGAATATCCACAATGTTTTCTTTATTTTCCTCAGACCTTAACAGCAGGTTGGGATGAACTTGAGTGCCATCGCGTTTATAATTTCTTATGCGAACTGACTAATCTCTGCCGCAAGATGCAAATGGCTGTCTGCAGCAAACCAGGTAAAAAACTACAATTTGCATATAATTTACAGAGATTAAAATAGAAAAAATAGAGTTTTAAAAATGTAATTAAGAGTAATTTTGGCCAGATGTGGTGGCTCATGCCTAAAATCCCAGCACTTTGGGAAGCCAGAGTCGGAGGATCACTTGAGTCCAGAAGTTCAAGAGCAGCCTAGGCAACATAGTGAGACCTTGTCTCTACAAAAAATAAAAAATTATCCGGGCATGGTGGTGTGTGCCTGTGGTCCCAGCTACTCAGGAGGCTGAGGTGAAAGGATCGCTTGACCCTGGGAGGTCGAGGCTGCAGTGAGCTGTGATCGCACCACTGCACTCAGCCTGGGCAACAGAGTGAGACCCTGTCTCCATAAATAAATAAATAGTGGGCCAGGTGCCATGGTTCACAACTGCAGTCCCAACATTTTGGGAAGCCAAGGCAGAAAGATCCCTTGAGGCCAGGAGTTCAAGACCAGACTGGGCAAGACAGCAAGATCTTGTCTCTACAAAAAATAAAAAAAAATTAGCCAGCCGTGATGGCATGTACCTGTAGTCCCAGGTACTCAGGAGGCTGAGGTGGGAGGATAGCTTGAGCCACTAGATTGAGGCTGTACTGAGCCAAGATCAAGCCACTGCACTCCAGCCTGGGCAACAGAGACCCCTTTTCAAAAATAAAAATAAAAATAAATTGTGGCATACATAATAGCAAAAGGACAAAGAAATGTAAGGGAATGATAAATACTGAATAAGACAGTGAGGTAGAAAAGCAGTATGAGATTGGAGAAAGAGGGCTTCAACTGTATTGATGATCTTTTATTCGTTAAGCCAGCTGGTAGATACAAAGGAGCTCATTATAGCATCCTGTAAACCTCTCTATATACCAGAAATATTTCATTTTTTTTTTTTTTTTGAGACGGAGTCTTGCTCTGTCACCCAGGCTGGAGTGCAGTGGCCGGATCTCAGCTCACTGCAAGCTCCTCCTCTCGGGTTCACGCCATTCTCCTGCCTCAGCCTCCCAAGTAGCTGGGATTACAGGTATGTGCTACCACACCCAGCTAATTTTTGTATTTTTAGTAGAGACAGGGTTTCACCGTGTTAGCCAGGATGGTCTCGATCTCCTGACCTCGTGATCCGCCCGTCTCGGCCTCCCAAAGTACTGGGATTACAGGCTTGAGCCACTGCGCCCGGCCATATTTCATATTTTTAAATTATAGAACCTTATATCGAGCTGTTTCACTCTGAGAAACTCCCACAGTGTGCAGAAGGAGACATGTATATGAATAATCATGGCAGGCAGAGGGCAGTGACTCATGCTTATAATCTCAGCACTTTAGGAGGCCAAGGTGGGAGGATGACTTGAGCCTAGGAGTTAGAGACCAGCATGGGGGACATAGCAAGATCCCCATCTCTACAAAAAAAAAAAGAAGTAGGCAGGCATGATCCAGTCACTGCACTCCAGCCTGGGTGACAGAGGAGGCCTTCCGTCTCAGAAAAAAAAACAAAACAAAACAGGTGAATGGATAAACAAAATGTGGTATATGTTGCAACATGGGTGAACCTTGAAAACATTATACTAAGTGAGAGAAGCCAGGAACACAAGGACAAATATTGTATGGTTCTACTTACATGAGATACCTAGAACAGGCAAATTCATAGAGACAGAAAGTAGATTTGAGGTTACCAGGAGCTGAGGGCAGGGGAGAGTGGGGAGTTATTGCTTAATAGTTACAGAGTTTGTGTTTGAGGTGATGAAAAACTTTTGGAAATAGACAGTGTGGTGGTTGAACAACAGTGTAAATATAAATGATGCCACTGAATTACATACTTACAAATGGTTAGAATGGCAAATTTTATGTGATTTATATTTTACCACAATATAAAAAAATTGATAATATACTATAAACCTTTGAATTGCACACTTTAAATGGTTGAATTGTATGGTATATAAATTATATTTCAATAAAGCTGTCGAAAGAAAACAGTGATAGGCTGGGCAAGGTGACTCACACCTGTAATCCCAGCTACTCAGGAGGCTGAAGTGGGAGGATCACTTGAGCCCCTGAAGGTTGAGGCTGCAGTGAGCCATGACTGCTCTACAGCATTCTAGCATGGGCAATGGAATGAGACACTGTCTCAGAAAAGCAGAGAAATAGTATATACTATTTCACATTCCGTTAGGATGGCTAGAATCAGAAAGTTCGATTTAGATAATAAGTGTTAGTGAGAATGTGACAACAATCCTCATATTGCTGGCGGGAATGTAAAATGGTGCAGTCACTTTGCAAAATAGTCTGACAGTTTCTCAAATGATTAAACATAGAGTTATATGATACATCAATTTCACTTCTAGGTATATAGCCCTAGGATAAATGAAAACATATGTCCACCGAGAAACGTGTGCATGAATGGTTTTGTTGTTATTGTTTTGTTTTGTTTTGAGACAGGGTCTGGCTCTATCACCCAGGCTGAAGTGCAGAGGTACGATCTCAGCTCACTGCAACCTCCACTTCTTGGGCTCAAGCAATCCTCCAACCTCAGCCTCCCGGGTAGCTGGGACTACAGGCACATACCAGCTAATTTTTTTGGTATTTTTTATAGAGATGGGATTTCACCATGTTGTCCAGCCTGGTCGCAAACTCCTGGGCTCAAGTGGGCCTGTCTCAGCCTCCCAAAGTGCTGGGATTACAGGCATGAGCCACCATGCCTGGCCTATATGAATGTTAATAGCAGCATTATTCATAGCAGCCAAAAGATAGAAACATCTCAGATGTCCATCAATGGGTCAATAGATAAACAAAATGTAGTAGTACATCCATACCATAGAATATTATTTGGCCATTGAAAAGAATGAAGTGCTGTGGGGGTTGGGGGAGGGAGAACATCAGGAAGAATAGCTAATGGATGCTGAACTTAATATCTAGGTGATGGAGGGATGGGGGCAAGGGGAGAGATAATATTAGGAGAAATACCTAATGTAGATGACGGGTTGATAGGTGCAGCAAACCACCATGGCACAAACCACCATGGCACATACCTATGTAACAAACCTGCACATTCTGCCCATGTATCCCAAAACTTAAAGTATAATAAAAATAAATAAATAAATATCTGGGTGATGGAATGATCTGTGCAGCAAACTACCACGGTACACATTTGCCTGTGTAACCTGCATATCTTGCACATGTACACCTGAACTTAAAATAAAAGTTGAAGAAAAAAAAAAAAGAATGAAGTGCTGATACATGCTACAATATGGATGAACCTTGAAAACACTGTATTAGGTGAAATAAGCCAGTCACAAAATGCCACATACTATATTGTTTCATTCATATAAAAATTCAGAATAGGGGCCAGGCGTGGTGGCTCACACCTGTCATTCCAGCACTTTGGGAGGCCGAGGCAGGTGGATCACCCAAGGTCAAGAGTTCGACACCAGCCTGGCCAACATGGCAAAACCCCATGTCTACTAAAAATACAAAAAATGTAGCCAGGCGTGGTGACAAGCGCCTGTGATCCCAGCTACTCAGGAGGCTGAGACAGGAGCATCGCTTGAACCCGGGAGACAGAGGTTGCAGTGAGCCGAGATCGCACCACTGCACTCCAGCCTGGGTGACGAGCAAGACTCTGTCTCAAAAAAAAAAAAAGAGAAAAAGAAAAAAATCCAAAATAGGGAAATCCATGGAGATGGAAAGTAGAGCATTGGTTGCTTAGGGCTGGGGGTGGTAAAGGACAGAGAGATAACAAGATGATAGCAAAAAGAACAGCATGTCTTTTTGAAGTGATGAAAATGTTCTAAAATTGACTATGATGATGGCTGCACATAACTGTGAGTAAACTAAAATCCATTGAATTGCAAACTTTAAATGGGTAAATTGTATGGTATGTGATTTATATCTCAATAAAGCTTTTGAAAAAGTAGTCCTATGTTAATCTAAATTTTTTGAGATGGATTCTGGCTCTGTTGCCCAGGCTGGAGTGCAGTGGTGTGATCCCGGCTCCCTGCAAACTCTGCCTGCTGGGTTCACACCCATTCTCCTGCTTCAGCCTCCCGGGTAGCTGGGACTACAGGCACCCGCCACCACACCCAGCCAACTTTTTTGTATTTTTACTAAAGATGGGGTTTCACCGTGTTAGCCAGGATAGTCTCAATCTCCTGACCTCGTGATCCACCCGCCTCAGCCTCCCAAAGTGCTGGGATTACAAGTGTGAGCCGCCACGCCCGGCTGTTAATCTAAAATTTTTGTAGCTGAGTGTGGTAACTCATGCTTTGTAATCTCAACACTTTGGGAGGCTAAGATGGAAAGGTCTTCAAAACCAGGGTTCAAAACCAGCCTGAGCCAGGGGTTCAAAACCAGCCTGAGCAATATAGTGAGACCTCTGTAACTACAAAAAATTAGCCTGTGGTCCCAGCTACTAGGGAGGCTGAGGTGGGAGGATTGCTTGAACTCAGGAGTTCAAGGTTGTAATGAGCTATGATCAATCATGCCACTGAACTCCAGCTTGGATAACAGAGCAAGACCCCATATCTATCAACAACAGCAACATAACATTTTCTTTTTTTGGGGGACAAAGTCTAGCCCTGTCACCCAGGCTGGAGTGCAGTGGTGAGATCTTAGCTCACTACCACCTCTGTCTCCTGGGTTCAAGTGATTCTCCCTGTCTCAGCCTCCTGAGTAGCTGGGATCACAGGCATGTGCCACCACTGCCACCTGGCTAATTTTTTGTATTTTTAGTAGAGACAGGGTTTTGCCATGTTGACCAGGCTGGTTTTGAACTCCTGACCTCAGGTGATCCTCCCACCTCAGCTTCACAAAGTGCTGGCATTACAGGCGTGAGTCACCGCACCTGGTCATAAAATTTTCATAAAGGAAAATGAAGTGACTCTTTCAGTACAAAGTATATTAATGATGTATGTCTTTGACCTTTCTCTGCATTTATTTATTTTTAAATCCAAAATTGTACAAGAGTCTGGTAAGCTTAAGCATGTCTTTTGATTGATTGACCCATTATTCAAAATATTGATTATAAATCAGGAAGGTAAGAGTAAGTAGATAGACAAATTATGAAGTTAGGGGAGTTTAAGAATAGATAATCGGCCGGGCGCAGTGGCTCAAGCCTATAATCCCAGCACTTTGGGAGGCTGAGACAGGCGGATCACGAGGTCAGGAGATCAAGACCATCCTGGCTAACACAGTGAAACCCTGTCTCTACTAAAAAAATACAAAAAACTAGCCGGGCGAGGTGGCAGGCGCCTGTAGTCCCAGCTACTCAGGAGACTGAGGCAGGAGAATGGCGTAAACCTGGGAGGCGGAGCTTGCAGTGAGCTGAGATCCGGCCACTGCACTCCAGCCTGGGCGGTAGAGCAAAACTCCGTCTCAAAAAAAAAAAAAATAGATAATCTCTTGGTTACTTCCTGTTTAGAAACCTAGTTTACTATTACTAACCATAATGATTAATAAGTTGCTTTGATCACTATTCAATATGCACAGCAGCCTTTCTACAAAGAATGATTTACAATTCTTTTGTCTTCATAGGAAGTGCCCGAAAACTTGAGTTAAGGATCAGACTCTTCTGTAGGAATGTCCTCCTTGATCATTGGACACATCGAAGTGATTCTGCTTTTTGGTTGACACGGATATTAAAACCATGGCCAATGGTGAATCAGGCAAGATTACTGTATATCATCTTTGGGCCAATATCTCCTCAAGATGGTGAGCACCCATTTTTCAGGGGTGTAACATAACTGGTTCATTATTTTTACTTTAGGAAGCATATATATATATATTTAAGAAGCATATATTATACACATACACGCACGCGCACGCACGCACACATGCACACAGTGGTACAATCACGGCTCACTGCAAACTCCACCTCCCGAGTTCAAGCAATTCTCCTGTCTCAGCCTCCCAAGCAGCTGGGACTGCAGGTGCGTGCCACCATGCCCAACTAATTTTTTGTTTTTTTGTTTTTTGTTTTTGAGATAGAGTCTCGCTCTGTCACCCAGGCTGGAGTGCAGTGGCGCAATCTCGGCTCACTGTGACCTCCACTTCCTGGGTTCCCACCATTCTCCTGCCTCAGCCTCCCGAGTAGCTGGGACTACAGGCGCCCGCCACCACACCCAGCTAATTTTTTGTGTTTTCAGTAGAGATGGGGTTTCACCATGTTAGCCAGAATGGTCTCAATCTCCTGACCTTGTGATCCACCCACCTCGGCCTCCCAAAGTGCTGGGATTACAGGCGTGAGCCACCACGCCCGGCCAATTTTTTGTATTTTTAGTAAAGACGGGGTTTCACCATGTTATCCAGGATGGTCTCGATCTCCTGCAGGATCCCACTTTGTTACCCAGGTTGGTCTCAAACTCCTGGGGTCCCACCTTGGCCTCCCCAAGTGCTAAAATTACATGCATGAGCCTCTGTGCCTGGCCAAGAAGCATACACACACACACACACACACACACACACACACACACACACATATAGTTTTTAAGACAGTCTCGCTCTGTCACCCAGGCTGGAGTTCAGTGGCCCAATCTCCACTCACTGCAACTTCTGCCTCCCGGGTTCAAGCGATTCTTGTGCCTCAGCCTCCTGAGTAGCTGGAACTACAGGCGTGTACCACCATGCCCAGCTAATTTTTGTACTTTTAGTAGAGACAGGGTTTCACAATATTGACCAGGCTGGTCTCGAACTCCCAACCTCAAGTGATCCTCCCACCTCGGCCTCCTAAAGTACTGGGATTACAGGCATGAGCCACCACACCTGGCCAGAGATGTTCAAATCTATACTATTACCAGAATTGACTTCTTGTTATGAAAGTTAAAATGAAAGTAGCTTGTATAAGTAATGGGATTCCATTATGCAATTCACTTTCCTTTTTGAACAAGTCTTTATCACAAAGCCAACTATTCTGTTATAGCCTCATTTCTGTTTCAATTCAGGACAGGTGGTTTGGCAGAAAATGATAGAAGAACCTACAGATGAATTCAGTCTGAAAGGTTTGGCTGATGCCATTAAGTTACTATATGACGCTAGCACTAAAGAGTGGACAGCAGATGATGTTATCAGTCTTGTAGATGAACTATCAGGTAAAAAAATATATTTACTAACATAGAATAATAGAAGTTTATTGTTAAAATGCAGTTATAAAATTGTAACAAATGATGTGTCTGTTGGAAACACCGAATGCTCTAAAATATTTAAAGAGTTTGGCATTATGTTTGAAAAGAATGCATATAATGAACTTACTTTCCTTTACTTGCCAATTTTATAAATAAACATTTATTATTATTATTATTTGAAAACCTCTTCGTTTAATTAGCTCACTTACTCCCATGTTGTAAATTCTCAGAAACATCCTCCTAGGTTCTGTAAGAAGCCCTCTTCTGCAAGTAAAGGAGAGGTGAAACAATTATTCCTATTCCTGCATAATCCTTTAAGATTCTAAAGTTTACAAGGATGCTTTCCTTGCACAGCACTTTGCCTGCTGACCTATGTGTAGGAGAATTGCTTTGATTATATTATTAGTATATTTGTAAGAGTCTCCATGACTTGGCAATAACCTGTCTCTAACTGAATGCCATAATTGGTAAACTAGAGCATTTTTTTTTTAGCATTTCCCTCGGCACTAATTGTATTTCCAATAAAGTGGTAAAATATTGCATGTACTTAATGGTATTTACTATAGCTGTTGTGTGATTTCTCATTAAATAATTGTTATTTCTCTAATAAAAGTGGTTCCCCGTGAGTGGCTTCTAGAGAATAATGCACGTCTCCTAATGCTAAGTGGAAACAACCTCTGTTTCACTTTCATGGCTAGTAAAGCTGTGAATGGACGGACCATTGAACTGGCAAGGCTCATAGTCTTTTTAGCTTTGGTAAGCAAAAGTAAGTTTTTCTCTAGCAAGTTGTTTAACACTGCAATTGACCTACCAGGGAGCTGCCCTTAAGGAACTGAAACGTGGACAAAAAACATTTCGTAAAAATGAATATTGAAGTATATATTTTTAATGTTTCTTTTTCAAAATATTAAAACATTTGTTTTGTTTTATTTTGTTTTTTGAGACAGAGTCTCACTCTTTTGCCCAGGCTGGAGTGCAGTGGTGCAGTCTCAGCTCACCGCAACTTCCGCCTCCCGTGTTCAAGCAATTTTCCTGCCTCAGCCTCCTGAGTAGCTGGGACTAGAGGCGTGCGCCACTATGCCTGGCTAATTTTTGTATTTTTAGTAGAGACGGGGCTTCACTATGCTGGCCAGGCTGGTCTTGAACTCCTGACCTTGTGATCTACCCGCCTCGGCCTCCCAAAGTGCTGGGATTACAGGCGTGAGCCACCGCACCTGGCCCAATATTAAAACATGTCATGAACTATAATATTTGGAATCATCCCTTCTATTAATCTCTCCCCACTTCAAGTCTGGATTTTCGTTATACAGTTCTGTTAAGTTATATTCTTTTTTAAAAAAATCCATTTTAAGAAAAGCATCCCATTTGATTTACTTCAAAATAATCACTGTGGGGGTGGGTTGGGTAGAGGACTTGGGGGTAAATGGAGATAGAGTTGAAATAAGATTGATAATTGTTGAAACTGGGAAATGAATACTGGGAGTTTATTATATTATTCTCTCTAATTTTGTATAGTCAAAATGTTTCAAAATAAAAAGTCTTGAAAATATATTTAGGCTGGGCAGGATGGCTCACACCTCTAAACCCAGCACTTTGAGAGGCTGAGACAGAAGGATCACTTGAGCCCAGGAGTTCGAGACTAGCCTGGGCAACATGTCGAAACCCATCTCTCCAAAAAATATAAAAATTAGCTGAGTATTTTGGCAACATCTCTGGTCCCAGCTACTCAGGAGGCTGAGGTGGGAGGATTGATTGAGCCTGGGAGTTTAAGGTTACAGTGAACCAAGATTGTGCCACTGTACTGCAGTCTGGGCAACAGAACGAGACCCTCTCCCCTCTCAACACACACACACACACACACACACGTGCATACATATATATAAAATATTATATTTATTTAATATTTATTTAACACAAATTTGTATTGAGTGCTTACTATGGGCCATAAATTATGAGATTCTTGAGCCCAGGAGTTCGAAAGCAGCCTGGAAAACACAGCAAAACCCTGTCTCTACAGTAAAAATTTTTTAAAATTGGCCAGGCATGATGGCTCATGCCTGTAATCCCAGCACTTTGGGAGACTGAGGCAGGCCGATCACCTGAGGTCAGGAGTTCGAAACCAGCCTGGCCAATGTGGTGAAACGCCGACTCTACTAAAAGTACAAAAATTAGCCAGGTGTGGTGGCGGGTACCTGTAATCCCAGCTACTCGGGAGGCTGAGGCAGGAGAATCACTTGAGCCCGGGAGGCGGAGGTTGCAGTGAGCAGATCATGCCACTGCACTCCAGCCTGGGTGACAGAGTGAGATGCTGTCTCAAAAATAATAAATAATAAAAAAATTTAAAAATTTAAAAAATTAGCCAGGAGTTGTGGCATGCGTGCCCGTGAGCTCAGCTACTCAGGAGCTGAAGTGGGAAGATCACTTGAGTCCGGGTGGTCAAGGCTGTGGTGAGCCAAGATAGCACCACTGTACTCTAGCCTGGGCAACAGAATGAGATCCCATCTCAAAAAATAAGTAAAAGGCTGAGTGCAGTGGTTCATGTCTATAATCCCAACTTTTTGGGAGGCTGAGCCCAGAGGATCACTTGAGGCCAGGAGTTCCAGACCATCCTGGGCAATATAGGGAAAGCCTCAATTCTACAAAACATAAAATAAAACTAGCTGGGTGTGGTGGTGTGTACCTATTGTCCTAACTACTCAGAAGGCTGAGGCAGGAGGATCACTTGAGCCCAGGAGTTTGAAGCTGAAGTGAGCTATGATCACACCACTGTACTTCAGTTTGCATAGCAGAGGGAGACCCTGTCTCTAAAAAATAAACAAGTAAATGAATAAGTAGGAGTTCACCAGGCAGATAGAGGGTGGCAGCAGGTTATTCAAGGCAGAAGAAAAATGGGATCATGTGACTGTATTCAGAACACTGTAAGCAGCTGAGTATGATTTCTGAAGGGTAAACGTGAAGGGAGAGGCTAGGTAAGGAAGGGTTTTGTGGGCCATTCTGTGGAGCTTCAATCCATTTTCTAATAGGGAGTTACTGAAAAGTTCTATGAAAGAGAGAGACATAATTGGCTTTGTGTTTTTCCAGATCGTTTTGGCAGCACTATAGCAAGTGTAATGGAGAGAAAATCACTAGGGGTGGGGAAGCCTTCTCTAGAAAGCCTTCTCTTATTAACATGTCAATTCTGATCATTAAAGTTCTCTGAATTGCCTCTGATTTGTCTTCTCTATCTTCATTTACTATTAGTGTGCTTAAGCCACTGTATGTGTGGGGTAGGTCATCTCCCAAAATAGACTGCAAGCTCTTTGAAATCCAGTGCTGTGTCACTTATTTCTTTCATAGTTCCTAGTACAGTATTTTACACATAATAGTCAATAGATCTTTCCTATCACAGTGCTATTATTTAGTTACACTACTATACAGTTTATTTTAATAATGTGCATTATTTATTTGGCTATGTGAGTTAAATTGGCAATTAAGGATGTTAGTAAAGAAACTTTTAACTTTTCAGTCAATTTTAGCAGGAACATGTAATATTTACTTTAAATATTAATTTTTTCAATAATGAAGAAATTTATTCCCTAAAATTCTCAAGATGGAAAGTCGACAATATCATACAATTCTCTTGCTTATTGAAATTGCCCATTTGTCTGTCATCCTCATTGAACTTCTTGAAAATAGAGCCATGTCTTTATGGTTTCTCATTGCATCTTCAGCTCCTGACAGGTGCTCAATAAATGTTTATTGAGGGCCGGGCGCGGTGGCTCAAGCCTGTAATCCCAGCACTTTGGGAGGCCGAGACGGGCGGAACACAAAGAAATAAATAAATGTTTATTGAATGAGTAAATGAGCAGAATTCTTTTTTTCTATGTTCAGTAACTGTTTTATATATATATATATATTTGTTTTATATATATTATATATATTTATTTTGTGTGTGTGTGTGACGGAGTCTGGCTCCGTCCCCCAGGCTAGAGTGCAGCAGTGTGATCTCCGCTCACTGCAACCTCTGCCTCCTGAGTTCAAGTGATTCTCCTGCCTCAGCCTCCTGAGTAGGTGGGATTATAGGCGCCCGCCACCACGCCTGGCTAATTTTTGTATTTTAATAGAGACAGGGTTTCACCATGTTGGCCAGGCTGGTCTCGAACTCCTGACCTCAGGTGATCCGCACACCTCGGCCTCCCAAAGTGCTGGGATTACAGGCATGAGCCACCATGCCTGGCCTGTTTTCAATATTAGGTATTGCATTAGTAAATAATATTCTATGATAATCTTAAATTAGGCTTGTATTTACTTCATACTTTTTTCCCATTAAAATCGTACCATTTGAAAGCAAAATAGTATTAGTTACAAGGGCATTTCCCATGTATAGACTCAGTATGGTGTCAGGTATCATAAATTATGTAAAATCACAAACTATCATTGTTCATCATTGTTCACCATTTTCAAATTCTATAGCTTTCTTCACATGAAGGTTTACAATGCTTTATATGTCTAAATCAGGTGTGTGAGAAAGAACTATACTGCATGGATTGGACAGTTAAAATGATGCAAAAAGTCTGCAAAGTCTTTAGCACTCCAGTGGAAAGAAATAACTTCCTGCAGAATGTGGCAAATGCATTTGCATGTGTTATAATGGAAATGCTGCAATCAATTATGTCTGGTGAGTAGGAATGTACTTGGTGCACAGGTGTGCATAAAAATGCGCTCTAGTTTCCACCTAAAACGGAGATATTTTTCTCTAACAGTCCAAGAATAGAAAAAAAAAAGCTATTTCTATGTTGACTTTAAAAAAAAAAATTAACGGCCGGGCGCGGTGGCTCAAGCCTGTAATCCCAGCACTTTGGGAGGCCGAGACGGGCGGATCACGAGGTCGGGGGATCGAGACCATCCTGCCTAACATGGTGAAACCTCGTCTCTACTAAAAAATACAAAAAAAACTAGCCGGGCGACCTGGCGGGCGCCTGTAGTCCCAGCTACTCGGGAGCCTGAGGCAGGAGAATGGCGTAAACCCGGGAGGCGGAGCTTGCAGTGAGCTGAGATCCGGCCACTGCACTCCAGCCTGGGCGGCAGAGTGAGATCCAAAAAAAAAAAAAAAAAAAATTAACAATAAATGGAGCAGACTTCTTGTTTGTTTGTTTGTTTGTTTTTCCTTGCAATATATTTAGTTCCTGGCTTTCATCACTTTAAAAATCTAGTATTGGTTTTAATGGAGAATATAAAGTTGAAGAGTCTGCTCTGAAAGGAACCACTTTCAATTTTGCACAGCAAAAAAATTTAACTTGCTCACTTACCAACTGTCACTAGCATAAAAATATATTTGTAAATATTATTTTACAGCTTTATTAAGTAACCAACATGATAATTAACTCTATTTTACATGAGAAAACTAAGGCTTAAAGAAGTTACCTGACTTACCAAGGTCTCAAAGTTAGAAGCAATAAAGCATGGATGAGCATCCTTTTCTTCTGACTTCTAATCTACTTTTCTTATATAATTCCTTGATTTCAGTAGTTAACCTGACTTAGTAAAGTCACTAACAAAAAGCCTTCTGTTTAAATATTACTAGGGAAGGCCAGGCACGGTGGCTCACGCCTGTAATCCCAGCACTTTGGGAGGCCAAGGCGGGCGGATCGCGAGGTCAGGAGATCCAGACTATCCTGACTAACATGGTGAAACCCCGTCTCTACTAAAAATACAAAAAAATTAGCTGGGCGTGGTGGTGGGTGCCTGTAGTCCCAGCTACTCGGGAGGCTGAGGTAGGAGAATCGCTTGAACCTGGGAGACGGAGCTTGCAGTGAGCCGAGATCGCACCATTGCACTTCAGCCTGGGCGACACAGGGAGACTCTGTCTCAAAAAAATAATAAATAAATAAGTATTACTAGGGAAAATTAGAACATCTTAAGTTTCAAATAAATTATATACTTACAAGGTGGGCGGATCACCTGAGGTCAGAAGTTTGAGACCAACCTGACCAACATGGAGAGACATCATTTCTACTAAAAATAGAAAAATTAGCCAGGTGTAGTGGTGCATGCCTGTAATCCTAGCTACTTGGAAGGCCGAGGCAGAAGAATCGCTTGAACCCAGGAGGCAGAGGTTGCAGTGAGCCGAGATGGCACCACTGCACTCCAGCCTGAGCAACACAGGGAGACTCCATTTCAAAAAATATATTAATTAATAAAATAAATTATATACTTAAAATTTTAACTGTCATTTTATTTTCCCTACTATGTATGGCATATAGGAGACCGTGATGAAGATGACAGAAGCTTTCTGAATTTGTTCCATCTTGTACATGCTCAGGCTAACTTCCATAAAGAGGTCCTGTATTTGACCATGAATACTTCTCTGTCTGCCTAAATCCTCAGAAAGCCTTGCCTTTAGAGAACCTCACTGAACTAATGATTAGAGGAGTGGTACTTTTTCACTCAAAAAATAGCATCCATGGGACTTTTTATCATCTAAGTAACCTAAGAATTCAAAAGCTGGATAGAATTTTAGAAGCAACTACTTACATCGTTATTAATATAAAAATAACAGGCAAACTCAAGAATGAACTGAGATTTCTCTGGAAAACAAGCTCTGCCTCTCCAGGTTTTAGTCAACCTAACACCAAACCAAAATAGAATGTTAGCTGTTCAAGAATCTGGGACCAGCCAACCTGTATGTGTGGATTTTTGAAGCAAGAGAAAATTCCACTTTATAGTTAGACCCAAATTCACTAAATAGTATGTGTGTTCACTTTGTTTAAGTTGTATAGACATAGCCCAGAATGTTTTGTGAAGATTTGCAATATGGTGTTTTGGAATGTGCAGAATACAAATCACAGTTTTTACTACCTTCTTGGCATATGCTTACAAAGAACATTATATTTTGTTCATGTTTTACATGAACTAACAGATAAAAAAGTATATGTATATGTCTGTGTGTGTGTGTATATATATATATAGAGAGAGAGAGAGACAGACATATATTTCCTTCTTTAAGATAATCATACAAAAGGTCTATACATACAGGAAGGTGTATATTGTCTCAATACAATCAAATCTTTTACTAGGGATTCAAATAAAATGTAGCAAATAAGAGAAAAACAAAATGAAAGAAAATAGCTATTCTGCTGCGGGAATAATCTTTACAAATAGTTTTTACTTCTTCCTAAAGCTTTTCTCCCTCTCTTAAAAAGTGAGATTTGGCTGGGTGCAGTGGCTCAAGCCTGTAATCCCAGAAATTTTGGAGGCTGAGGCAGGAGGATCCCTTGAGTCCAGGAGTTGAAGGCTACAGTGAGTTATGATTGCACCATTGCACTTCAGCCTGGTGACACAGTGAGACCCTGTTTCTAAAAAAAAAGAAACAAAACAAAACAAACGAGATTTGACGAAGGAAAGTAAAAGTATGAGTGGTTTACAGCAGCCCATGAGAGAGTAGGGTTCGGTTCTCTTCACTCAAGTATATAGATTCCAAGAAGCTGCAGGACTATTTCAGCCTGACTAGCATCTGCCACTACTGCTTTTACTTTTACTATTAAAGTAGATAATAATAGTACTTGACAGGGCTGAAATAATGCTGGAGTCCTCCTGGATCTCCCATCCCATTTTTTTCTCCTTGGGTTTGAGCACTTTACTTCTGAAGACACATTGCTTCCACCTGGACTTCTCAGAGGCTGGCTTTCTTTACCCACGCTCTTGATTTAATTCACCTTTGGAGCTGATGAAGGGAAGAAACACTAGAGGATATGGAAAGTATCTGCAGAAGTAGGGTGTAAAGTGTAGGAAATTCTCAAATGTTTGGTAAGAGGGTCTCAGTGAGAGATGAATAGGACTGAGGAAGAGTGAAAATTGTGGAGAAAATACAAATTGTGAAAACAGGATTTTATTATATTTCAGTAGTAAAGGCACTTAACCTTCATCTCTGGAGGGTGAGAAGTTTAACTGTCTTTCTTAGATGGGTTTTCCAACTGTAATTCCATTGGTGGCCGGAATTTTTTTCTCCAGTTTTTCATTAGCATATTTATGCAAAAACAAAGTTCTTGCTTTTATCCTGGTTTCATTTTCTTCTTCTCAATTTAAGAATTCACCCTCAGTGAATTATAAATGGAATTGAATTATAAAGATTAAAAGTTGGCAGATATCAGAGTATAAAATAATACCTTAGATTTTTCATTTTCACCTCTCTTTTTTCCTATACATGCTTGCAAAGCATAGATTTATCAAAACATTGGTTATTCCAAGTTAAGAACATACCTCTTCAACTACCTGTGAGGGAAAGAAAAAATAAGGAAAAAAAAAAGTGAAATATTTAAATATAGATAGTGAATTTTTTTTTTTTTTTTTTTTTGAGACTGAGTCTCACTGTGCTGCCCAGGCTGGAGTGCAGTGGTGTAATCTTGGCTCACTGCAACTTCCGCCTCTCTGCTTCAAGCGATTCTCCTGCCTCAGCCTCCCCAGTAGCTGGGACTTACAGGCGTGTGCCACCATACGTGGCTAATTTTTTTGTATCATTAGTAGAGACAGGGTTTTGCCATGTTGGCCAGGCTGATTTCAAACTCCTGACCTCAGGTTATCCACCCGCCTCAGCCTCCCAAAGTGCTAGGATTACAGGTGTAAGTCACCATGCCCGGCAATAGTGAATATTTTTAATATTTTAGTAAATGGATTCTAGATTTCATTTCCTTAGAGAAAGAAATTTTGCATTGTAAAGTTTCCTTGAATTCCTTGAATGATCCCAGTCTCCACAGCAATTGTTTTTAGCAAGTTTACAAAAGAAGCATGTAAAACACATTTGGTCTGGGTTTTGAATCTTCTTTATACACTTGAACTGACATGACTGCTGCTGTAATTTAAAAAAACCCTCACATTATTTATTTCATTATTCTTAATAATTGTGAGATTATTATATCATCCTTACCAAAAATTTGAAACATAAAAAGTTTGATTCATTCTTTGGGTGCAGGAAATAAACTGTGTCATTCTGCCACCAATAAAAAGCAAGCTGACAAATTGTCCACTCAATTGTTAAAAATTATAAATAACATTTATGACCAAATTTGCAGTTTTTTCAATTCGGTGGTCCATTCTTTTTTGCTGAATACCTTTGTCATGAGGAAGTGTAATGTCAAATTTTAAAGGGGAAATTAACTTTTAAAAGCATATGTTTTTCTTACCATTACTATCAATGTTTTAAGTGATGGTATAGGCAGTCATATTGTCACAAAAAAAAGAGAATTTGGAATATGAATAGTTTAAAAATGTTAGGAGACTGTCAATTTCTAGCTAACTCTGGAACAGTCATAACAACATAACTATGTAAAGTACTAACAAGTCAGATAATTTAGCCTGTACTGTTTTTTAAAGTAGAAGATGGGCTGCTGGGTGTGGTGACTCACGATCCCAGCACTTTGGGAGGCCGAGGCGGGCAGATCACAAGGTCAGGAGTTCGAGACAAGCCTGGCCAAGAGACCAGCCTAGCCAGTGTGGTGAAACCCTGTTTCCACTAAAAATACAAAAATTAGCCAGGCGTGGTGGCGGGCGCCTGTAATCCCAGCTACTTGAGAGGCTGAGGCAGGAGAATTGCTTAAACCCGGGAGGCGGAGGTTGCAGTGAGCCAAAATCACGCCATTGCACTCCAGCCTGAGCAATGGAGCAAGAAAAAAAAAAAAAAAAAAGATTGGCCTAAATTAGCAGACCTCGGCGCCCAGCTCCTTTTTCCTTTTTGTAATGATTTCCTCAGCCTCCTTTGACTTTGATTTCTAGAATGATTTTTTACTCCCTGTAGAAGGCAAGTTCAATAACACATTATTATCTTTATCTTTATTATTGTTTCTACACACACCATGCACCATAATAGTACTAACAAACTAATGATGCTACCTTCCTGAGAAACTGATTGAAAATGTACAACTTATGATAAACTCTCTGTACCTTGTGAAACTATGAAACTTTAACACTTTTTTGGAGGATTCCTTCTCATGCCAATTATGAGATACCCAACAGAAGGTGCAGCTGGAAATACCATCTTATGTCAATGAATAACAAATACTAACCTCTTTGTGATTATTACTAAAAGGTTAACCTCTTTATGCAAATAGTACTCAATTGTATGATTAAAGATTTTTATGTCAATAAATATTGTGAAAGGTAAAAGTAAGGCTATTACAAAAGCCTCTTTGGTTATTGGATATCTTACTAACAATGTGACTTCTGTAGCACTTCCACCAGCAGGTAACTGTGAAACCTGTAAGAAATCAGGATATGGACATATGCTTCTTGGTTTTTGAAGCATTACTAAGCTAGGAAAGGTGACCTGAAAGATAGCTGCATTGAACAGTCTTCTCCAGGTTAAAAAAGAAAAAATTTCCAAAGGACTAAGATTGCATTCTTTTCATCGAGAAAACAAATATATTCCATTTAAGGGCAAGATTGAAAAAAAAAAAGAAGAAAAATATAACTCCAGAAAATTCCTCAAATAACTAGAGACTGAAAAAAGAACCCTACAAACCCCAATGATTTGCCCTTTGAAAGACTCTTAAAATAATAATAGTAATACTTGTAGACATTCTGAGATCACTGCTTTCTTAAAGGTACATATAACTGGAAAATATGCATTGCTATTTCAGAAGTATTGTATTTATGGTAAAATTTCTTTGATACTAAATATATTTGCTAAATTTTGTTTATTTACTATATTAATAAAACTATGTTGAAATTGAAAACATTCCAACTTGTTCAGAGTTTGTCATTATGCAAGTCATTGAGTTTTTTGTGGGGGAACTTATCTTCATTTAAGCTGTTAATTATAGCTCTACCATGATCAAAAAAATGAAATGTCTTAATATAAATTAATATTGTAATTAGGTGTATATTTATGTATGTGTATACTTACACTTAATATTAACATAAAATTAAATAATTTCATTTACTAGCAATAACTCATAAACAGTAATCTATAGAACAGTATTCTGCACTGTTCCACTATTTAATTCAGTGATTAAATCCATAAGCAATGAATATTCCAATTACTGCTAAACTAGAAATGCTATAATTATCATAGCTTAATACCAGTTTCAAAAAATAATATATGTAATTAAATATTGTGGATTACCTGCAATTTCCCATGACTATAAGATCTTACAGTGTTTTTTTGAGACAGATTCTGTCACCTAGGCTGGAGTACAGTAGTGCGATCTTGTCACACTGAAACCTCTGCCTCCCAGGTTTAAACGATTCTCCTGCCTCAGCCTCCTGGGAAGCTGGGACCACAGGCACTCACTACCACGCCTAGCTAATTTTTGTATTTTTAGTAGAGCTGGGGTTTCACTTTGTTGGAAAGGCCGGTCTCAAACTCCTGACCTCAGGTGATCTGCTTCCCTCAGCCATCCAAAGTGCTGGCATTACAGGCATGAAGCACAGTGCCCGGCCTCTTACAGTGTTTTTTTGTTTTTTGTTTTATTTGTTTGTTTTTTGTTTGTTTTTTCGAGGCATAGTCTTGCTCTGTCGCCCTGGCTGGAGTGCAATGGTGTGATCTTGGCTCACTGCAACCTCCGCTTCCTGGGTTCGAGCAATTCTCCTGCCTCAGCCTCCTGAGCAGCTGGGATTACAGGCACGTGCCACAATGCCCAACTTTTTTTTTTTTTTTTTTTTTTTTAGTAAAGACGGGGTTTCACCATGTTGGCCAGGCTGGTCTCGAACTCCTGACTTCGTGATCTGCCCACCTTGGCCTCTCAAAGTGCTGGGATTACAGGCATGAGCCACCGCACCCAGCCAAAAGCCCATTACTGTCTTTTTGTTTTTTGGTTTTTTGTTTTTGAGACGGAGTCTTGCTCTGTCGCCCAGGCTGGAATGCAGTGACCGGATCTCAGTTCACTGCAAGCTCCGCTTCCCAGGTTTACACCATTCTCCTGCCTCAGCCTCCCGTGTAGCTGGGACTACAGGTGCCCGCCACCTTGCCTGGCTAGTTTTTTGTATCTTTTAGTAGAGATGGGGTTTCACGTGTTAGCCAGGATGGTCGCGATCTCCTGACCTCGTGATCCGCCCGTTTCGGCCTCCCACAGTGCTGGGATTACAGGCTTGAGCCACCACGCCCGACCAGTTTTTTGTTTTTTGTTTTGAGACAGAATCTCACTCTGTCGCCCAGGCTGGAGTGCAGTAGTGCAATCTCGGCCCACTGCAACCTCCACCTTCTGGGTTCAAGTGATGCTCCTGCCTCAGCCTC